TGGTTAAATTGTACCGGTGAAAACCATGTCATGACAAATGATATGTAAATAAATAATCCTAACCAAAGTATTGTCCAAGATCTGCATCTCAAAACCCAGTGATTTTGTCTCCTGGAACTGGATGAATTGAAAATAAATTTTGTCCATAGATTCCTCACAGCTCAGAGATAAGAAAAATATCTGGTAGTGTCCCCTTTTGTAACAGGTTTTCCACTAAAGCATAGAGAGAAGAGAAGTATTTACTTTTCCCATTTTTAGTTTAGTGAAATTTTTTGTCAGCAAAGTGACCTACATGGTACTGTATAGGAAAAAGCATAGCATTTTAAACATTTATCACAACTGTAATTTGCTTTTGCATAAAGCTTTTTTAATGCCCATTGGCTGCTGCTATTGTGTATGTAAGGGTCATAAAGACCTGTCCAAGCTTTAGGCACAGTAAAAGACTACATCTAATGGCTTAAAGCAGTAATCCAGACCTTTTAAGCATGGTGGGCTTGCAGATTACTTTTAGACTACAGAAAAGCACCATGACTTTTGACAATATTCCCATCTCAGTTTTCTCAGTGTTCCTTTTTATCTTATTTTATGTGACTCCGTATCACTGTAACTCATTGAAAATAGATTAAATCCCTCTGGAATATTAATCTAGAGATACTTTCTCTTTTTGTTAATCAATGCTTAGTCCTACAGTGCCTCATTAGCTTAATTTCCAAGGGCTTCAGAGAAAAATTAGCTGAGCCAGGATCACTTTGAAGTTCATAGGCCCAGAGGTTTCCATCTACCTTTTAAGGTGAAATCCAAAAGCACTGGTTAGAAGATAGGTGCAGAATATTCCATTAGGACACTATGGGAGTCCTGTACTGTGGAATATGATGGAAAGATACAAGACTGTCACTCAGTACAGCCACAACCAGAGAGCAGCTCAGCTGATGCCCTCAGGCTATGGACAATGGCACCATTCAGCATATGATATATCTTCTGATGGCTTAACCTATGAGGTCTTAAATAAGCCATATACTAATTACCTCAGACTTATGATCTCCACTAGAGAGGCGGTGACTGCAGAGCTTACCATTTCCAGCTATCCGGTCTATCTTCTGCCAGAACAGAATTAATTAGGAATGCCAGAACAGAAGTTTTTCAGCTAACTTAACTTAAAACTACTATTTGAGTGCAGCTTACATCAGTGTATAGCAGGATGGTAATGAACATGGGCACATTTTGTCACTCCCGATGCAGAATGGTGAAAGAAAGTAGACTGCTGAGTGGAAGTACAACCCTCATCTGCCACAATTAAATTCAGTAGGGATTTATTTCTCAGCTCTTAGGGAGCTATATGGAAAAGAGCTCTGAAATTTGTCCTCCCTGAAACTAACAGTCATTGGCTGGAAAATCCTCTTTAACAGACACCTGAATCCCAAAAGAACTTAAGATTTTCAGCACTGGATATTAGTGCACCTAACCCTTTAGGGGTTTGAGAAGATCCACTATGCTCATTTCCGAATCTAGGTTCTGTATATATAATATGGAAGAGCTAGGCATTACAAAATGGTATTTACAAAAGCTATCATGATGAAAGTAACTTGGCAGGCATCTGGGTTTGACTTGGCAATGTGGCAGAGGACCTTACTCAGAGTATAATCTAGATCATTAAAAGCAGGACTGAGTATCATACAATAGGGACAGACTGCACAGAACAGTACAAAGCAGGAGACAGGACTAATACCACAAATATTGGATTTTTTTTTAGTAGCTGTACTTGGTCATTTGGAGTTTTATTGTATTTTATAAATTTGGAATTATATGTTATTGCTGTACTGCTCTTTGCTAATAAAAGGGCATAAACAATACTTCTGTTTTGCACAGGGTCTACCTCGTTGTCTCATACTAAGAGTTTCTAGTGCAATGGACTCTGCAGATGAGATCAATCAAGTCCAGTGTATGGAATCATTCTAGACTTCGGTTACGTTTACATCAGCAAGTAGTGTGGCACAATAGGCCCAGACGTACAGAGTGATTCACTTTGTGTTGATAACAAGCTGTCCATACTATATGTGGACGTGAGTTGTCTCCCTAGTTGGCGGCTGAGCAAGGATTCTGAGCACGAGCATTTGTAAACAGCCAGGGAGGCCAGCCTTAGATGCCAAATCACTGCTTGTTCATGGACCTAATGGTACAGCCTCCTCCCAGATATGATGATCGGACTGAATGGAGAAGCCTTTCCAAAACTATAGAGATCTAAAGAGGCAGAAAAAGATTCCAGTAAAGTCAAATGGGTACAAAGCCAAACCAGCAGCTGACAGAGGTTCCAGGTAACATACTCTTAGGGGTTGTACCACTGTAAAGAAATGATACTCTTAAAAATGGATGGAGGTGAAGTGTTTTTTTAAGTGGGATCCCATTCCTCAAGCCTTCCCCCCCGACTCCTCCTCCTGTACCCACAGGAACCTGCAAGATAGGAGAAAAGGTAAATGCATTTCTAGTGCTCAAGTCCTTGTTTGTCCACCAGGAATTACACCACATTACTCATTCTGTAGAGAAGGACTTTTCCAAACTGAGATACTCCACCTACCTCCAGGAGCCCTGCAGATGCTTTCCAAACTGCTGAAAAGCTTCTTGTGGACATGGTGCAGTCCTCCCTCCTGCTGCTGTGGTCACAGGTCTTGCAACTGCTTACAGCACTATATGGGGAGGAAAACTTGGGTGTCCTCATTGTAGATAGCACAGAAACATTTAGCGGTCAATCCATCTCTGGCAAATTAATCCAGAGGGCCACATTTTCTCTCTAGAGAGTCTTTATAGCTTTTATGAAGTGTTAGCTAGTGAGGCACAATATTTTTTTTTAAATATATGTCTTAAAATAATGACTTTTACCTTATTTTTAATTGTTTGCCTTCCTGGTGGTCCCGCCAACTGCGCCATTGGCAGCACAGCCCTGCGTGAAACGACCAAGGTGAACCAGGCGTTGACATCATGGCTGCAGTTCCTAACCACATTTTGTTGGGAGTTAGAATAACCAGAGTGCGAGATACACGGGTGGTGCTTCACGGGGGCGGCAGGACACCGTGGGCAAACACAGACGGCGGGAGAAGGCAGAAAGAAACGGGGCGTGCCACGACCGACAGACAGGAGAGCGGTAACTGCCAGGACAGCGGCTTCTGCACCCGGCTGGGCTCCGATATCTCCTTCCTCGCCCCGGGCGTGACGGAGGGAGGGCCCGATGC